AATTTTGAAATAATTCCTCTAAAGGGTGTTACTTCAGTTCCTCTCGACGCTCTTTTGCTATTTTTTTCAATTTTCCGTTCTCAATTTTCATTGCCAGACGTATTCCAATAACGTGCGCGAATAAAAATGTTATGTATAATCATTTTCATATCTATGGGCGGCACTCATAGTCTTCTTTTAGGATCATCTTAAACACTTAAAGATGTCAATATAATCATTGATTAATAATGTCTTAAAAAATTATATTTCAAATATATTCAAAATCTTAAATATCATCAAATTAAATATTTGAAAGAAATTGTATTTAGAAATTTTTATCTAGAGAAATATATCTAAAATATCTATTTTAGAAGTTGTTGTATCTAATTATTCATCTGAAATGTACATCTGTATTGTACTTAATTACATTGTTCTTAAGATATCCGTAACTGCATTTGGTTAGTTACAAAAATCTATCTCTTACAACACTGCTCACGGTAAACCGACAAATAGTGATGGAAATATGCCATCACTATTTTGATAAAGGACGATGAGTACATCGCGTGCAGACGATTGTTTGGCATGCATTATCTAAACTGGCGCACAGATACGAGGCGCGCCAAAATTATAGGCCTCGATGTTCATTGTGGTTTTTCTTCGAGCAACACGGTATTTTCTTGAATTATATTGAAATATTAGACTTATCCTTTTTAACTGAACTTTATAATTCATCCTTCCTTTTTTTTGTTGGAGAATAAAAAAGGGAAAAGTAAACCGTGCGAGAAGTTCAACTTAAAAATAAGCCTATTAATAATTTTCGAATTGAAATTTCGAATTGAAATTTGGAAAAAAAAAAATTCGACAAACTAAGCTTCCGGAATATAATTAAAAGAAGGCAAATACTCTCTCTCTCTCTCTCTCTCTCTCTCTCTCTCTTCGCTTGTGAAAATGATATAAGACATTCTTTATTACTGTCGCTCTTAAGCAATTATTAATGAAAGATCAGTCGCACTTTAAGAGGGAAATCTAATTTCGGTCTCGGCCAATATAACTTCCACTTTATATTAAAAAAAAAAGAAAAGCTTCAAGTTCATAAGGGATAATACTTCGTTTGCAATTTATATAACATAAAGTTCCGTACAATTTTGCATGAGTTGATGAGAAAACTTGCCGTATTAGCATATCGATGGATCGTGTAGTTTCGTCTGGTTACTATTTCTAAGTGAATGACACGCGCGTATCCAGTTCGCATGTATCTAGTTAATAAACACTAATTATAGTATATCTTTATGTACTCATTTACCATGTGCTTACGTACTCATAATCAATACACAAGGTATCACTAATAAATACTCTTAAATACATTAAGCGTGAAAATATATATCCTTATATCAATCTCGAATCTCGTGCAGAAATATAATGCTTAAGTCATTAATCTCCTTTTTAGGCGAAATTTAAATTATTTAAATTCACCTAAATTATTCTCATTGATATCTCTATGACAAATATATTTGGACATACATATCTACGGTTTTAAAATTAAACGTCTTAATTTAAAATACAAATTTAGAAGCTCAAAGTAAGAAAAGTTCTCTAGAGATATGTCCGCAAATTTGTTTAGATACTGATATTTAAATACTTTAAATATGAAAAAAGTTATTATCAGATTATAATAATTATGAAATTAATAAAAAAATTCTAATACATGATTACATATAACTTTTTATTTAAAATAATGGTTTTGAATCCGGAGACAGATTTGGTATTTCTCTCTTGCGACATCAACGTCAGAGTAGCATTGGACAGCTGTAATTGTTTCGCATTTGAACTAAACTTTTATTAAAAATTAACTGTGCAGTTCCATAGATTTTTTATTCAATAATTTCCCGTTTCCTTAGGCCGTAGAAAATTGTAGGTTTTAATTGTATGGACCTGAAGACAATTTTGTGTTGATAATATTTATTTGGAAATCGTATGAAATATTCATGAATAACATTAGCATTTCCATTATAAAACCCGAAACACGATATTGACATACATATTATTGAAATAAATATAAGGTTCAATTCACGAAAGCTTTCAACAAATTGAGCAATGTTTCTCAGTATATTACGATATATCGAATATTTATATAATTTTCGTTGTATGTTGATGACCACACAGTTACGAAAATTTCGATTAGTAGACCATACGTATAATGTATAAATAATATATAAATAATTTATAATTAATAATTCTTATCTATACAACATTAAATGCTAATATATTTTAAATAAAATATTTACATTAGAAAAAAAATTATTCTTTCTAGACATGCCTGTAAAATGTTTTATTTAAAATACAATGGCATTAGAATGTTTAAACTTGAAATATAAATATAGAACTTCGAAAAATTTTCTTACTTATGTCTCAAATTTATGTTTCAAGTTTAAACATTCGATCTTAAAGTTGAAATACGCACGCATATTTTATGCTTCCCCAATGTCTCATCTTAATTTCCCGTGGACCATCTTCGTACATCCATACGGAACCGTTCTCCCACTGCGATCACAGACTGATTACCACTCTGGTTGCGAGAGGTACAATTTTGATTAGCCTTATTCCTCATTAAGACGCGAAAACGTGCTCCACATCAGCGGGAACCAGTGTTCGGATAATTGGGTGTTCGTATGTCACGCGTGATGAATTCGTAAATTGGGGTTTGTGATCTGCTATCATTTTGATCAGCTCCGTTTCCAATTAAGTCGCATATCGAGCAGGACGTACAATGCAAATAAGATTACCTATTTACTTTACTATTTTACTTTAATAATTACTCATTTGATTATCAAAAATCCTCACCTTCCCGAAAAAAGTTATCGACGTTACATCGCAAAAACGACGATTACAACAACTGTTGTTACCGATAGAATTATGAAACCATCAGTCTTAAATAAATAATGAAAAGTAAAAGAAATTTAATTAATACGCAATTACAAAATCAAAATCGTCGTATCTAAAATAAATTACAATTGGTTTCCAGCGGAATCAACGAAAGAATGCAGTCAGATGTCTCGCGTTTATCGAGACTAATTATGTGAAGGCTTCCGGGTTTTTTTTCGGTCCTTGTATTCTCGTAAGGAAAACATCCTACCGCGATAATCTCCGCAAAAGGCTATATGCAAGATGACTCACCGCTAATTGTCGAACTATTCAAATGACGCAATAATAAAATCAAAATCGTCATATCTAAAATAAATGGCAATTAATTTCCAGCGGAATCAACGAGAATGCAGTGAGATGTCTCGCTCTCTTATTCGAGACTACATACGTGAAGACTTCCGGTTTTTTCCGTTTGTATTTTGCAAAAAAAAAAATTCTTATTACGATAATCTCTACAAGTAGGAAAAAATCTTACTACGATAACCTCTATAAAGGACTATGTGCAAGATGATTCATCATTAATCGTTGAACTATTCAAATGACTCTTCAAACGTTCGAGTTTATTAGTATTATGTTCAGAGATTTTTAATATAATAAAAGTTTAATAAAAGTATTTATTAAATATTTGCAAATTCTTCTGGAAACCGCTGGTCGATTTCTGTCTTAAATTTTAATCATCCTCAATTTTATATATCGCATTTTATGCCATAAATGCAAACTTAGGATAAAAAAATATAAAAGCAACCAAGAGTCAAGTGCTGTTAACGGTACGCAAATATTAATAAATTATTACATCAAAAATTTCCGAACATAATATTAATAAACCCGAACGGATTTATTAACGTTTAACTCATTTCCGAGTCAACGAAATAAACATTATACAATGAACGAATAGTCAAACTTGAAATGTGGTGAAGATCGGCATTACAGGTAGATGTCAAATTTTGTGTTGACCCTAAATAGATTTGTCAAACAATAAAAGAAAACGTAAACATCGTGAAGATCAACATTGCAAAGAAATTCAACAAGCCGCGACTTGTCTTCTAAACGTTAATTATCTTCTAAACGTCCGACTAATCACCAGACTCACCATTAAATAATCAATAATTTAATGTCTGACGAAATTAAATGGACAAGGAACTTCAAGGAGGACTAGTCATTGCCGAAACCGCGATTGCCGTCTCGAAAGTAGGTCGTCGACGACGAACTTTTATCTGTCGCGCTCCGAGATCGGCGAGATCGAGCGCCCGGAATAACCATTAAGAGATTCGAAAAGCGGAACCGAGGTACACCCAGGGTTCTGGCGTCGCGTGGGCAGACTGGGAAAACAATCTCGATACCATTGAGAGATCTGGCATCCCACCTCCAATATCAGCAGCAGCAAGACGTCGGCGGGATGACCTCGGGTTTCTCTATTTAATCTCTCGCACGGCATACCTATTGATTTTCCGGAGGCCTATTGTTTTGACATGTCGAGATGTTTAAACCAAACGAAAACCGGAGCGCGAACATCGATAAGGGGACGAGTACCCCCCCCCTCCCCACTCCCTCGCCCTCCGTGCCCCGCGCGATCATGCACACCCACGAGTCGCCGTCGTCGTCACCGCCGTGAATCGTCACACCCCGGCGAACGACCTGTCAATCATCATGTCCCGTTCGTTGAATCATCTCTATTTCGGGAGACACCCATTGGACCGTCCGGTATCGGCGGTACGAGATGCGAAGGCTAACTTTGAGGTTAGCTCCGCTCGTCGATTATTTACGTGACTCCAGATCCTCGACGGGAGATCTTCGCGAGAGGAAGGTACCCGCGAGCGTCGAGATGTCGAGTTGTCGAGATACGCGGGAACGAGAATCGAGGGAACCACCGGACGACGATGACGGTGACGACGGCGGCAGCGGTGGCGGTGACGGTGGCGGCGGCGACGACGTCGACAGGCGACGGACGGACGGACGGCGGCAGCGGCGGCGGCGAGTAGCACGCCCATTCCGTGCGTCGGGAAACCGCGGATGGGAAAATCAATATTCAGCCGCGTGGCCGCGCGTTTTAATCGCTCGCCGGCCGAATTCGGCGACGGGCGCGTCGCGCCCCTACTCACCGCGAGGAATATCCATAGATGCGCGCCGGTGCCGTCTCTCGTCGCACGAAATCAATTTATCACTTCGAGGCACACAGGCACTACGTCCGACAACACTCTCACGACTCCACCGTTCCCGGTTCCGCCGTTCCTGTCATCCAGCAGCGGCAGCGGCGACGGCGGCGGCGGCAGCGGCGGCGGCGGCGGCGCCGACGACGACACGGTCGACCAGGGCCGACCCAGCGCATGGAAATGCGGGAGCTCATGGCGCCCCGCACTCCTTCCTGCTTGAAAAGTCCGGCAAAAATGAGTAAAAAGGAATCTAAGCATGACAGAAATCGAATAAAAAAATTTAGCGTGCAAAAAACACACACACACACAGAGAGAGAGAGAGAGAGAGAGAGAGAGAGAGAGAGAGAGAGAGAGAAGAGAGAGAGATTCTGCAGTTCGGATCTTAAGTTAAATAAATTAAAGAGTTACAGCGTTCTTTAATAAGGATTCGAATATGTGAAAGTTTTACTCCATAGTCAACGTTCGTTTGTGAATGTGGCCTTTTTTGGAGCTTCGCGTGATATTTCCCCCGATTTCACCGACTTGCAGTTACGCTCTTTCGAGACTTTGCGCATTTTCGGGCGTTCTCGGTGAGATAACATTTCCGAACGATTCCGCTTTGAAACTTCCGCGGGATGTTTTCCCACTGCTGATTGAAAGGACCGAGGTCCCCGGCGTTTCGATTTGGCGTTTCTATCCCGCCGAAAAGGGAACGAAATCGCGTTTTGGACGCAGATAGAAAGAGAGAGAGAGAGAGAGAGAGAG